GCGGCCATGTTGACACTGCCTATCAATTTTCATGTTGATCGGACAATTGGTTGTGTAGTTATAGCTATTTTTAATTTTTTTTCCCCTCTAATAGGGCCACCAAGTGGCCAAGCTCCGTGATTTTTTTTTCAGATTGAGTTCCTACATGAGTGTTCTGAGTTTGGCCTTAGCCATTTTAGTAAAAGCGGCCCTGCCCCTTACGAACATTTTGGCCTCCCTTTGTGACGGTGAGTCAAAAGTTTAACTTTTTTGATAATTATTTATATTCACTCTCCAGAGAATCTTTCTGCACTGATTTGGTTCTGATCTGGCGAAAAACCTAGGACTAGTTCGCAAAAGTAGGTTTTTCAAAAAATCCAAAATACCCAAACATTTTGCCAGGGATTCCAACGACATAAGGCACTTGAGTCTGTGACCAACGGTTTAGGAGTTATGAGCAATTTTGTACTTTTGATCGCTGTAATGTCCCCGTCAGTCCGATTGGGGAGAGCTTTGGTGAAATTTAGACAGTGTGAGTACTACCATCCCTCCAAGTTTCAAGTCTCTACGACTTATTGTTGGTCTGCCCAATCATTTTTACGTGGAGATTGTTGATCCTTGGCCATTCTAACAATTACAATAAGGTTTCAGCACTACGCGCTTGAACCCCTAACTATTGGCTTTTTGTTGAGGTAACAGGGTTTTATGATAACTTCTGAGTTTGCCTACAAAACTACGTAATCTCTGCAGCATTCTATGGACTTGTGCGCCAAAATTAATGTCATTATTTACCAAAATTCATAAAATATGGAACTTATCATGACAGTTGGTTTCAAATGCTGTGGATTTAGATTTTATTGACACCGAACCTGTGATATAAGGATAATGTTAACATTTTCATAAAAGTTCAAGTAAAATACATTTCTCATAATATGAACCCTTTCATATGCATGACTATTTCTAACGATTTACATAACCAAACACATTCATTATTTTTAATGAACAATCAAATTCAGTAAATGTATGTGTTGTGTTTATTGAACTAAATTAGCTATAGAGACAGCATGAATGAATATGGCCATTGATAGTATGTGTGTCTTCTTTTAGCTTGTGATGCGCGTGAGCAGCAGATGTGGATGACCCAACTTCAGCTGTGTGCCCGTCGCCACTCAGACGGCAGTGCCAAGGTAACCCAGTTACATTTAACACGGCACACTGTGCTCTCATTTCTGTCCTTTACAACTTTTTCACTCCCTCTTGCTTTTGAAAGCAGAATGTTTGTCTTGAGGCTGTCCTTCTTTTGATTTTGTTCACCCTATCATTAATGATGTACTAACTGTCCTTTCTGTAAGTGCATCTTCCCTTGTCATCCTTCCTGTCTTTGTCTCTATCTCTCACATTCCTTGTACTGACTGACTCGCTCTCCATTTCCTCTGACCTCTCCAGGCACTACTTCGATGACAAACGATGTAGTTATGTGATTTGGGATGCAGTTTACTCTCTCTGTCTCTTTTCATAAGAGAATAAAGTTCATCACACTGGATATAAGGCTTGTTGTAATGGGTGGAATTTCAAATAAGGTCATTAGCAAGTTTTTACCTGTAAATTTGGTTGGTTTATTTGGTAGAGATGGGATGTGATTTAACTCTTTTTAGCCTGGTGGATGACAGAACAGGTGAAAAAATGCTATATATAAATATAATAAAATATAAAATATGTAAACAGCCAACGTGCTAAAAGCCACTCCGAACACCTTAGAAACCATTTAGAACAACTACTAGTATTGTGGCATTGTAGTTATATTAATATTATTTATATGTTGTTATAGTATTTATATTGGCTTTATTTTGATATTTTCAGTTATTATAATTTATGTTTAAGTTTTAGTCATTATGTAATGTGGCTTTGCCGTGTTTTATCATCTTTTTTATTTAGATTTAATTTATTTTTATTATATTATAATATTATATTATTTTTTATTTTATACATTTTAGTACGATAGTACCTATTTCAGTTATGCATTTTAATCTAATATTTATATATCATTCTATTTCAGCTTTATTTAAATTAACATAGCAATTTTTAATAGTTTTAGTTACCAATAACAATACTGCATTGGTGGTGACTACCGTGACGGTTCTTCAGAAAATGTAATAAAGTATTTTGACATTATAAACATGAACGTATGTACAGAACTGTTATTGTTATCTACAGTTTTAGATATGGTTATTATAATTCATTGAGCAATAAAACAAGTAGATATATGGAGGCATATGATCTATACATGTGACAGCTCACCTGACATGATCATTTACTGTATGATCATTTACTTTTTTCAAAATTATTGTTTAATACTGATGGGAGAAACAGACTTATATTTATTGTATCAGTTCTTCACATATCATGTGACAAAACACTGTGTGTCACACTCTGTTTCCCACTATTGTCTGATTTTGAACACACAGTGATTTGTATGTTTAACCTTTACAGAGTTAAACTGTAAGCGTTCACCTCCATTAAGACATGTCATTAAATCATGCCTCAAGATACATAATGAGAGTTTTGCCAACTGAAAGAGATTCAAATGGATGTTTAAATGCCGTAATATGCATTAGACAGACTTTTAGGCAGATGGTGATGTGTCCAATTATTTATTGTAATTTTCAGCGCTTTTGAGTGGCAGAATAATGATAACTTCAGTCAGATCTGAAAATGAGTGTTTACAAATGGGAGAGACTGGCGTTATCCAGTAATTTAGAGCGCGGATTAAATGGAATGGAATTTAGCCTTGAGGCTAAAACATTGTTTGACTTCTATTAGCATTCATTTTCAATACATGACCAACAAATGGCAGTCTAATAACACAAGACAGTGTTAGCTGCTAATGTATTCTGAAAAAGGATTGCAGTCTCTTTGATAAATCCCATTATAAGCAAAGTAATTTGAAACTACACAAATCTGGGCCTGGTCTTCATCATCGACCTAAGGCTAAATATATTACATTACCAGTGTGTTATATTTATTCATTTAATGACTGAATCCATAATGCATGCAACAGATGCTTCATGGATTCTCTACACTCAGTGTGCTTATTTTTGTATATATTTTATTATTCACTGCACTTTATTACCTGCTGCTCTGTTAGCAGAGAATTATTATGTTTCTACTAAGAGAAATTAAATTTACTTTTTTCAACAAGGATGCGTTAAACTGAACAAAAGACACAATAAAAGACATTTACATTGTTACAAAAGATTTATTTTTCAAATAAATGCTGTTGTTTTTACTATTTTCTTTTTTTTGTTCATGAAAGAATCCTGAAAAAAATGTATCGTGTTTCAACAAAAATACTGAAACGTAAATGTATCAGTTGTTTCAACAAAACTGTTCACCATTAATAATAAGAAGAAATATTTCTTGAACACCAAATCATTATATTAGAATGATTTCTGAAGGATCATGTGACACTGAAGACTGGAGTAATGGCTTCTAAACATTATGTATTAAAATAAAAAACAGTTAAATTGTAATAATATTTCACAATATTACTATTTTTACTGTATTTATCAAATTCCACCTTGGTGAACATTATATATTATAGCGTTGTATATTATGTATATTATTTTTATGGTTTTACCCTTCTCTCTAAATTTCAGAATTTTAATTCCCTGCTATAAGGGGGTCTAAGGGTCTGTATAGTCTATGACTTATGTAACCTAGTCAGGGCTGAAATCTCAGATGACTGAACAATGGACTGCCATTAGACTGCGAGAATGCAATTGCATGAGGTTGGGGGAGTTCCATAGGACCTGAATAAAATACTCATTGCCGCATGTACAGAAAACCTCATAGTATGGTCTAATTTTGGGTCGTATCAAAGAGTGCGACCTTCCTTCAAGCCTAAGAGTCCATGTTGCAACACCCAGAGGAGCTCTTCTCTTGCGTTTCTGAAGAATGCACAGGTGCTATTACCTTTTAAAAAAAAAAAAAAATCTAAACACATCTTCCTCTGTTTGTTGGGTATGGATCATTTTTGATAGAGAGCATGACTTTAGGAATTTAGCTGTTCTGAGACTGATTTCTAGTGTTTTTTTGGCAACAGAACTTTTTAAGGGTGTTCACTAAGGCCAAATTTTCATAGACTTACACTATCGTTCAAAAATACAGTAAAACATTAAAATTGGGAAATATTTCTACAATTTAAGATAACTGTTTTCTATTTTAACAAATTTTAAACTGTAATGCATTCCTGTGATAACAGCTGATTTTTCATTATCTTCACATGAGTATCACATGATCCTTCAGAAATCATAATTTGCTGATTTATTATTTTAACAATGTTTAAAACAGTTGAGCTGCTTACTATTTTTGTGGAAACCATGATACTTTGATGGATTCTTTGATGAATAGAAACATAAAAAGAACAGTATTTATTTGAAATAGAAATCTTTTTTAATGTTTATAATAATGTTTTTTCTTTCACTTTCAAATTTAATATGTGTCAATTTCTTTAAAAAAAAATCTGTGTACATTAAAGAATGGACCTAAACCTGATGCTTAGGGATGAGAATATCATAGAAAGCTTTTTTGCTCTTCAGCAAGTAACCAGTCATCTATGACAACCTAGAAACGATGTAGCAGTGTGGTAAAAAAACACACAAAAAAAACACCCCAAAGTCCACATAAATTGTGGAAGACATTTTTGTATAGTCTTAAAAAAAAACTATAAATGTAGTTAGACTTAGTAGTGACATTTATGAAAGCATGCATTAGGCAGTTGCTTTAGTGCATTTTTTTTCATCAGCAGTGCACTAAATGCTCTTGTGTATCTCAGAAAAAAGATCTCTGATTAACTGTGATGGAATGAGATTGCAGTTCTCAGGTTGTGCCGAAGAGCTTTTAGAGATGAAAGCATTTCAAACAAGTGACAATCCTTACTCTCTCTGCAGTGGAGAACAGTACTCCACAGAAAGCTCACTCCTCCTCTCTCTGCTGCCTCATATTGAATCTCCCACCATGCACTGCCCTTGCTTCCTCTCACCCTCCCTGTCTGTATGTGGCTGCTGTCTTGGTGGTGTCAGGCCGATGATGCTCTTTTGCGTGATGGCAGACCGTGCTGGCAGCACAGGGCCGGTGTCTGTGCCCATCGGGAAGCCAGGCCTGGGAGCCTGCTCTCCCTCTCACTCCTGCTGCTGCCATTGCTGCTATCTCTTTCAGGGCTGCACCTCCTCCTCTTCCTCCTGCAACACATCCTCTTCCTTATCTGCTGGTCGGACCCGCAGCTTCTCCCTGCACCCGCACCCTGTCCCACAGTGCTCCTCCATCTCCACCCAAATTCAGACCCCCCAGCACGGGACTCCTGCCTCTGTCATCACCATCACCCACCACAAGTCCCCCACCGCCAGTCAACGGGCCTGCAGTCAGCATCCTGCAGGACTGCACCAGGTCAAAGAGGTACGGACAGCATCAGACAGAGCCAGCTAGCCACTGTTGTTAAACACACTGATGTTTTGCAGTGTCTGTCAGGGGTTTTTAACTTGATTTTTGGGGTCAGTCTATTAGTTCAGATTTTTGGGCTTTTAATTATATTTTTAGCAAGATATATTCATTAAAACTTGTTATAAAAATATTTTTATATATATGTATAGTACACACACATATATATATATATAAGTACACACACACACACACTATATACACACAAAATATTTAAAATGTAGTTATATATTTAGTATTTAAAAATACTTAATAGCATGTTTATGTATAACTTTATATAAAATTCTATATGTAACGTTCTTTAATATTATATTTATATATCATTTTATATTACTTGTTTTTTATATA